TGGTGTGTATCCATTACAAAAATGTCAAAATTTCCAGATAAATTTACAGGTAAAGTTACCGGTAAACTTTACATTCGCAACACTTATCAATGTTTTACAATATTACTGCTAATTGTCTCCGTATGAAATACAATTATAAATTTTATGTTTTATTTTTAACATAGTGTAAATTAAGTTTATATACACTAATGGTAATTCCCATTGCATAGATTGATATCCATCTTTAAGGTGGTAAAAAAATTTTTATTCATATAAAATACCATAGTGTGTATCCATTATAATGATGATTATTTTTTAACTAAAACTTCATCCTGTATCACTTCATTTCCAAAAAAATTAAATCACCTGCCGCATCTTTTTAGTCACGTATTTTGATAACTTTTTAGGCTGTCCAATTTTTGAAATTAAAATGTTTAAAAATAAGACACATGAGTTACTAAATTTAATTCCTCTCTAGATAAAAAATCTATCCAATTTTTAAAGTGTTAGTTACAGATGAGCTATTGGGAAAAATTTTATTTAAGTTAATTTGCAAAAAATATTTTTGCAAATAACTTAAAGCATTTTAGAATGTAATCAATTTTGGTAATTTTGTGACACTTTTTCCACCATTGATTTTTTATTCAACATAATTCTCTACAAGAAACTATATTAACACTTAAAAATAGTAGGTTCCTTTTTATTTCTCAAAGTCACATTTTTTTATGACTACCACCTTAACATAGATTACCCCAATTCCTTGAACATATACAAAAACGCAAAATATAATCCTACATGCATTTTTTGCTTACTTGTATAATATATATGTTAGATAACTATGTGTAAATGAAAAGTATATATCAAAACTTAAATGAAATATATCATACAGATATTGCACCTAAAATTTGATGTGAAAAAGTAGCATTACTGGTTTTCTGAAAAAGTATTGGTCAGATTATTGACCAGTTGTTTGGTCAAATAAATCTCCTTTTGGTTTTCCATGCACTCAAAGTTTTTTTGTTTAGAGACGTAGTAATGAAAAATATTATCTTGGGTGTATTAAATTCACTGTTAAACATCAAAAAAATAAACTTATAGGGATGCTTTTCACCGCATGCTAGGTTTCACAAGATTAAAAGCATTATGGATCAATATCAGTACAATGGGATCCTTGTATATCATGCAAATCCAACTTCAACAATACAATGACTCAATAACTACCAACTTCAACAATATAATGACTTAATAACTACCAACATCAACAATACAATGACTCAATAACTACCAACTTCAACAATACAATGATTCAATAACTACCAACTTCAACAATACAATGACTTAATAACTACCAACTTCAACAATACAATGACTCAATAACTACCAACTTCAACAATACAATGACTCAATAACTACCAACTTCAACAATACAATGACTCAATAACTACCAACTTCAACAATACAATAACTCAATAACTTTCAACTTCAACAATACAATGACTCAATAACTACCAACTTCAACAATACAATGACTCAATAACTACCAACTTCAACAATACAATGACTCAATAACTACCAACTTCAACAATACAATGACTCAATAACTACCAACTTCAACAATACAATGACTCAATAACTACCAACTTCAACAATACAATGACTCAATAACTACCAACTTCAACAATACAATGATCCTAAGCACATAATAAAAACATAATAAAACATATGTTAAAAAAACCATGCTTAGATTGGACTGGTGGCTTTGTCAATCACCCGACGTAAATCCAATTGGAAACCTACAGTAAACACTCAAAGATAAAATTAACTTAGTTTCTTTTTATTAACAATGCTTGTTAATAGTATGCCTTGTAAATTAAAGCAGTCCTAGCTGCAAAAGGTGCTATGACAAAGTACTAATTTAAGAGAGTGTGTTCAGAATGAAATGACTCGATTAAGATAATAATGCAATAAAACAACTCTGCCAACAATTATTTTGCTTTATGTATGTTTGGTAACACCTTTTTTTATAGCAACATTACATTGTAAAACGAGTTTTTTAATGCTTTGGCGTTGATTTTCTTTAATAAAAAACTTTGAGGTTTTTTTTCTTATATAAAGTGTATATATATCTATATATATATATATATATATATATATATATATATATATATATATATATATATATATATATATATATATATATATATATATATATATATATATATATATATATATATGTATATATATATATATATATATATATATATATATATATATATATATATATATATCTATATATATATATATATATATATATATATATATATATATATATATATATATATATATATATATATATATATATATATATATATATATATATATATATATATATATATATATATATATATATATATATATATATATATATATATATATATATATATATATATATATATATATAATAGTGTTTGTATAAGCATGATTTTTATATATCGATACCTTATATAAAATTACTCATAACACTTTTTTAAAATTTACTTTAGAGTCTGTAAAAAAAAACACAAATTTTCTAGATCGGTTTTTTCGGCCTTGACTGTATTTTAAAAGGGTTGAGTATTTAGTATTGATTTTATTTTTAATTTTTTTTAATCAATATAAAGTTTTATAAAGTTTGATCTAACATTACTCTTAAAAAGTTAATGGTTACCTTTTAACGGCTTACTCATTAAGAAAGTAGTTTACTTTCAAGAATTTGATCACCCTAATAAGATGTGCAGGACAACATAAATTTCATTTTACCACTTATCAATTTTTAGTAATTCTTTATTAAATATTTTTCAAAGATCTTTTATTTTATTGCTTGAATAAAAAGTATTGTTGTTGTTAGCAAACAAACTCCGCCTAAAAAAACTCATTTGTAAATCGTATCGTAGCAGTCGACAATGACAATAATGCAACTTTTTTCAATCAGGTGGGCAAGCTATAATTTTAAATTATAAACTAGTATTGTAAAGGTTGTGCTTGACAGCTGCTCTTGTATTGGTAGTAATAATCACTAGGATAGGAAACAGCCAGAGGGAAAGATCATTTACTCAAGTTTGTCGCTAAAAGAACTGGGATGATAAAGACCTTGAGACAAAAGAGTGTAATCTTAACTTACGTTACACCCGTATACTAGTTACAAATCTGTGTTTGTCTCTGTTTTAATACCTGTGTTGCTTCCAGACCTGAGTAGGATTAGAATGGCTGGATTAGGCTGGTCATCACACACATGCACTAGACAATCTGGCAGAGCTCGCTGAGTAATAGTCAAAAACTACTCGCAACAGCATCAGGATTTTTTCCTAATTTTTCCTTATTCAGAATTCATAAATATAGACAATTTCAAATTTTGTGTCTTGATTTAGGTCTATCAGGCTTAAAAAATTGGTTAACTGCTTAAGTAGGTGTGATAATCTTCTCTTTTAAGGTACAGCTGGGGAAAACCTGTAAAAGAAGTTTTTTAGAATGAAGGAATCAAAATTTTTTACCTCTTGCATGACATAAAACAAATAAAGGTGAGGGGAGAGAGAGAAATGACAAGAAAATAATTAAAAGGAACTAAAAAACATAACACCAAACACTGATTTTTTTTAAAATTTTTTAAAAGGTGATTCATCTTCTTCACCTATAAGTTCCTGATCTTTATCGTCTGTTCTCACTGGATTATAAGGAGCCAACCGATCTGCTTCAGCTTTCTTCAGTAGCTCTTCAAGTCTAGTGTATCTTTCAATTCTTTTAACCACTTCAAATCATTATAGTCATACCAAATTTTTATATATATATATATATATATATATATATATATATATATATATATATATATATATATATATATATATATATATATATATATATATATAGACATATATATATAAACATAAAAACATATATATTTATATATATATAAATATATATATATATTTATATATATATAAACATATATAAATATATATATATATATGTATATATATATATATATATATATATACATATATATATATATATATATATATATATATATATATAAATATATATATTTATATATATATATAAATGTTTATATATATATATATACATATATAAATGTATATATATATATATATATATATATATATATATATATATATATATATATATATATATATATATATATATATATATATATATATATATATATATATATGTATATATATATATATAGATACATACATATATAAAAATATGTATATATATACATAGATACATATTTATAAATATATATATATATATATATATATATACTTATATATATAAATATATATTTATACATATAAATATATATATATACATATATATATATATATATATATATATATATATATATATATATATATATATATATATATATATATATATATTTATATATATATATATATATATATATATATATATATATATATATATATATATATATATATATAGCTGCAAATGGATGTCTTCGGTAAAAAAAGAACCTTACTTTTTTTTTTAATTTAAATGAGTTTTCGAGGTTTCTCTTTGGATTCTAAAGTTATGACGGATCCTAATATTGTTAAAATTTTTTTTCTTCTAAACTATATCAACCTGGTACTCAAGAAATGTAGAATAATACGCTTATTTTGAATATAATATTTGTTTTAATTCAAAACTAAAAAAAATTAATAATGTCGTTTTTTTGATTAAAAAACCCCCGTCTTCATCAAAACGGGGGTTTTAAGGTATATTTTTGTAAATATTTTTTTCACAAAAAAGTTTTTTTTAATAAAATTATTATTGATAAAACAAGCATTTTTAGGCAGCAATTTGCTTTTTTTTCTTTTTAATAATAGTTTATAACGAGGGGCATAACTTAACGCATTATGTGTCATTAAATATAAAGGCAAAGTATTCAATATACTGCGACTCACTATCTTTTTTAAGTAAAAAAGTAAAAAAAAAATGTTAAAATAAAAAGTTCTCACAAAGAAACGAGGTGTACAGCAGAAATATGAATTTAAACGGTGAGGACATACACGATCGTTACTCTAAAAAATAAGAATTAAAATAGAACACAATGTTTTTTTTAAATTTATATACTATAATATATTTAAATAATCAATAGATGTTTATTTTAAAAGATGTTTAATTTAAAAAAACTTGATTCTGAATACGATAGGAAGATGTCTATAAAAGTCTGTAGTTAGAGCAGCCTCTTCTCAATAGTTAGAGCATCGGATTAAAAATCCATAACGTGGAACCTCTTGATCTGAATTCAAAAATCGTTTCTTACTGATCATAATAAACGACTAAAATTAAGTATAATAAAATTATGGGTATAAAAGAGTAAGGGCGTTTTTGTTTATCCTTAAAGAAAAATTTGTTTAAAATCCGTTCGTGGAAGTTATTACAGGGTGTCGGCCAGATCAAGAAAATCAGGGAATTTAGATTTCTGCAAAAGACCAGAGAATAATCAGGGAAATTGGGTTGTAATTTGAAATAATCAGGGAAAATGGCTATGTGGCAAATGTACATAACCTGTCAGTTTTGTATCATACACGTAATGTAGAAATTTATTCAGAAGATTTTTTTTATGGCCTTTCATTGATAATTTGAATGTTGCTTGTAATTATATTTATATATATTTGTACTAAAGCATTTTTCTGAATGAATTTAAGTTAATTTTCTCTAAAGTTTAGCTTTTGTTAGTTTAAATTAGGTCAGCAAAAACAGCTTGAGAATCAGGGAAAAGTCAGGGAAATCCATCTTTAAATATTGGCAGACACCCTGTATTATATTTAATTTATTTGCTTAAGGGGTCGTCCATAAAGTACGTACGCCAAAAATTCTTAAATTTGACACCCCCTCTCCCTTTTGCCATGCGTACCTTTAAGTCTCCGCTCCCCTTAAAAATTACGTACATGTTTATATACCCCCTCCCCCCCACACACACACACACACTTTGAAAAAAAAAGTAACTTTTTTATTTCAATAAATTTTGGGGTGAAAAACGTATAAAGTCTTTATACGACCCTAAAGCCCTTTGTTAGCGGCAAAGGATTCCAAATTAAAAAACATCATTAAATATATGCAAATATAAATTTAAATATAAATAATTCTTGCAATATTGAAGAGATCGCTTAGCTGAGTGGATGATGTTATGGGCAGTGACACAATTCGATTCCCAGTAAAGTCCTATTTTACTTTTTCTGTTTAATGAGACGCGTCAAATAAATATAAACTATGCTTAAGGCAGACGTTTTTTTCAGGCACCCATCTTTAGTAAGCCTGTAAAAAGCGAGTCACGCGAGAAAAGTAATATTGAAAACAAAGCTTAAAACCCAGTGCCAAGTGTAGGCTACCCATACCCCGTAATTAGAGAGGGTGGGGTGTTGTTGAGGAGCAGCAAATGAGGAGATCTTGTAAAAAATTGGTATGGCGGAGAGCTGTCAACAAATAGCCCTGAAACGCTTGTCCCCCTGCTTAAATATATGGGCACTTACTGTAGTAAAATTTTTAACTTAACGATCTAAAATCAAATTCAAACTTTTCGACAGAATTTAAATATCGTTAAATAATAGTGTAAACTACAAAATGTTGATGCAAAATGTACAAACCCTCATTTGTTTATTTTTTTGGGGGTAAAGGATCGGAAAATTTTACTACATTAGTGCCCTTACGTTTGGGCAGGGGAGATAGATGCAAGCATTTGAGGGCTTTTTTGTTCCCAGACAACCGCCATTACAATTTTTTGCAAGGCCTCTTCAAATGGCATAGGTATAAACGTACTTGAGTTTGTAGTTTGCACAATGTGTGGAAGTGGTTTATCTGGAACATCAAAAAATCTTGTTGGCGCCTATGCATTTGTGTGCATAGAGAGAAACTATACTTTCTACTCCCGTTAGTTGATTTCTGTACATTATCATATTCAAACATCTCAGTTATTCATAATACTTTTTTTTTGTAGTAAAGTTATACACCAGTGCACAATAAATTAGTGCCATCACAAATTAATGCCACTGGGTGCACAAATATGTGAAACTGTTGTTTTTTTTCTCTTCAACAATGCAAAAGAGTCTCAATCTTAAGTGATATTTGTTGTTATAGTGTTGTTTTATGAGTGAATAATAACTTTTTTTTTTTTTTTAATTAACTTTAAAATTGATAACAGTTAATTAAAAACAATAATAATTTTTCTACTTCAAAATATAAGTTCAGGAGAGTGTTGATCTAATGCATCATTGTTGGTAACAAATTGTCATAAAACAATATTAATTTGGCACAATATTTCTTGGTACAGAAAGTTTAAAGTTTTACTAAGTCGATTTAAAAATATAAAAACAGAAAAAGTTACCCTAAACAATTTTATGTAAACACAGCGCAATTATAAAACGCTTTAGCGGTCAATCGCAATTGTAAAACGTTATAGTGGTCAATCGCAATTGTAAAACGCTTTAGTAATCAGACGCAATTGTAAAACGCTTTAGTGAACAGGCTATTGACACAGCTGTAAACGGTATCAGTGAGATAGGACTTGATTTAAACATAGTCATAGTATTTAACTAGTCTGGAAACGATGGCCGTTTTCTATAGATTTCGTGAAATAACTTGAGCTTTAAGGGGTGACCGGACTGAGAGTGCATCAAATGTTTTTAAAATGTCTTTTTGTAGCGCACACTTTGAAAATTTTAATGAATTCGATGCTGTTTTAGCTGCTATTGAGTTGTTATTTGTTGAAGGCAGATCTCAATTTAAGTTCAAACATTAGACTACCTATTTTAAATTATCCTAACCAAAGTGAAGAAAGAATATTTATGTGTTTGTTTTGCAAGAAACGATGTATATCACACGGTTAAATTTAATTTTCTCTCAAAGGTAGATAAATATGCTGTGTTAAAGGGTATAGCACATATCTTAAAAAATACCAACATTGTCTAATTTAGCTTTGAAACCATTCAAAATGATAAAATTGTACCTTATTTTTTCTTGTTTCCATAAAAAATACCAACATAGTGTAACATGATATATAAATACCAACATGATATATAAATTATCAACTAATCCAGCTAAGTAAACTATATATAGAATATAGAGTTTATTAAGCTCTATTAGCTAACATTTTAAATAAATATACTCTGAATATAATACAAAGCATTTATACTCATATACATCCATCAAGTTATACAATCGATGAAATGTTTACATCTCTAACATATTTTCATATAGCATATAATTTTAATGCTGATATGGTATAAGCTATATGGTTGAATAAGCATATTAATACCACTACAAACTCTGTCACATAACTACATTTATCAACAGTTGATGTCTTTATTTTATTCTATGTTCATCATTTTTATTCGGAATATGAAATATATATGCAATCCAAAATTTTAACTTGAAACTGAATAACCAAAAAAATCACAATTTGTTCATCCATTTCAATATTTATCCCAGATTATATGTAACTTATCTATAGCGAAATACAATGTTTACAATTTGATGATCTCTAAAGTAGGCTGAGCACTAGTTTAGAGAGGAACTTAAGTGTTTTAAGAAAACGGCCCGCGTTTCCAGACTAGTTAAATACTATGACTATGATTTAAAACAGAAATATTTGAACGGTTAAAATGCGCACAGTTTTATATTGCATTGTTTTCTCACATAAAAAAGTTGACTTTCGTTATTTGTGTTTTGATTTGTAAGCACCTCAAAAAAGTTTAGTTAAAAGTTTTTTTGAGTACTATTATAGTTCGTCGGTAATATTTTCTCTTTTTAAGGTTTTAAAATACAATTTTCTCATTTAAAGTCTCTATGCAGTATGGAATAGTTTTTAGTAATTTAGTTTTATAACAAAGTTAAAAAAGTTGTTATATACATAACATATGTAAAAATACATACGAAAGAGAGTTAATTTAATAAAATACTTCAAAAAATATCAAAACACCGGAAGAAATTTTTTGCGCATATGCGGTGATAGAAATACTTATATTATTAATGTGTTTAGGTAACTAGTTAAGTCTTCACATTTAACACATATTAAATAGATAACTTAGAATATTAAAAAATATTTAAGTAAAATATAAGTTAAGAAGTGGTCGGAACGGACATAGATCCGTAATTTACGATCCCAGTGTAGTATGAGATTTTTGTTCCCGGGTTTTAGTTCTCTTACTTTTGTTAATGAACACTTTTAAGTTTCATTTAATACAAAAAAATATTTATTTAGAAGAAGATTAACTTGTCTTTTTGAATAAACTCTTAACTTTTTATTATATCAGGTTTTTTATCACTTTCATACAAGCAGCTAGCATGATTTGACTTGGTTTTGGAAATCCTTCTTTTACCTTTTTCTTGAGGTTTTTTAAAACAATTTTTACACATTAAGCACAAAATTCTCTAAATTACGAACGTACTTTTAAAGATTTTTTGTTTTATATGGTTATTGCTAAACCGTTCACTCTTTTTTCGTTTATTCTTACCCCAGTTTACTCTACTACTCATATCAAAGAACCTTTTTTTCATAAAATGTACGTAAAAACCAACTTCTGCCTTGTGAACAATAGTGCATCAATGGACCATGGACGCTATAATAGACGGATGTGTAACTCGCTGTTATTGCATTCAAAAGGCAACTTTTCACAAGCGTGTGCACAACAAAGTTAAATCACATGTTAGAGGTACAACTACTGTGCTAAGTACAGCATTTGAATTTGTTCTTGTTTCTGTACTTATCAGTTGAACCGATTAGGGATTTGACAGAACGTTCGCAGATGTCATCGCAATAAAGGTTATTTGGTATCTACAAATCAAAGTCATCTGTTTCCACTCAGCGGTATACCAGTACGAGCATAGTATTAAGGTTTCACGAAAAGATGTAGTCATAAATTAGGTGCAGATTTGCAGAGCTTCCATGTACCAAGAACAAAATAAGTTTCAATACATTTCTAAAACAATTTCTTGAAGCAAAAATCAACAACAGCACTTCGTGCAATTTGTGGACATTTGACGTATGTCATGTATGCCTTGCAAATTCTTTGAAGTTTAG